CAAGAGCCTTCCAGAGTCCTCCGAAGAAGCCCCCGAGAGATGAAAATCAGTGATTTCCTATGGTTTTTCTTAGATTTTTGCTTCTTTGCATGTTCACTGTTCCGACGTGCCAAGACGGCCGAAGACGCTCACAAGACCGATGCCAGACGGCTCAAGAGGCCTCCAAGCGAGTCCGAAACCCGGCCCAAGACAGCCCCGACACGGCCCAAGGGGTGCCCAAGACGGCCCCAGACAGCCCCGACACAGCCCAAGGGGTGCCCAAGACGGCCCCAGAGAGCCCCAAGGTTTTTTTTTCTTTCTCGCATGTTCGGCTCTCCTGACCTCCGAGACAGCCGCAGATGCCCACAAGACCACCCAAGAGTGCTCAAGAAGCCTCCAAGCGATTCCACGGGGCCCAAGTCGGAACGTTTGAGCGCTCCACACCGGGTTACAGACGTGCCAGGGAGCGTTTCGACACGTCTTCCGAACGAAGCCCATACATAACGTTCGTAGAGCCTGCCTGTCCCAAAGTCGCGTCAGCACGCCTCCCCGCGCCCCCCCTGCCTCATACTTTGCAGTATACAGCTGCATTCTGGTCAGAATCCTGGGTTCGCACCCTTTTTCAAGAAATTTGGTTGCGAACCCGGGATTCGATAAGTTTCCCTCTGAAGTCCTTTTCTTGCATTCCATTTGCCCCTTTCGTTGCTTCGAACACCAAGTTCACCCACTCCCCCTCCGCAACCTCTGCACATTCGCAATGCGAGCCCGCGAGGACCCCTCGAAGGGACCGCAGGATACCGCGAGAAGCCAGCCGATCCAAAGCTTCAAGGAACAAGATGCATGGCGCGAAGCGCCTATGCAGCCTTGTATATATATATATATATATGTATATGTGTATATAGATGTGTATATGTATGTAATCATGTATATATACACATACATACACACATACATACATACATACATACACACACATACATACACACATACATACATACATACATACCTTACCTTACCTTACCTTACCTTACCTTACCTTACCTTACCTTACCTTACCTTACCTTACCTTACCTTACATTACATTACATTACATTACATTACATTACATTAATACATACATACATACATACATACATACATACATACATACATACATACATACATACATACATACATACATACATACACACATATATACATATATACATATATGCATATATACATATATGCATACATACATACATACATGCATGCATGCATGCATGCATGCATACATACATACACACGTACATACATACATACATACATACATACATACATACATACATACATACATGCACATACATACATACATTTCGGAGGGCTCTTGGGCTGTGTATTGGCAGTGTTGGGCCCATCTGGGGCCACGTTCGGGCCATCAGGGCCGCCTTGGGGCCTCCCGCTCCCGCTGTGGGGCTCAGCATGGGCCTGTCCTGGGGCTCTCTTGGGCCGTCTGAGGCTCGTCCCAGGCAATTTTCGGGCTCCCTTGGACAATCTTGGGGCTCTGTTGGAGGTCTTTTCGGCGGTTTGGGGGCGTCGTCGGCTGTCGTAGAGCGCCGGGAGGTCGAAAACGCGAGACACCGAAAAACATGTCAAAAACCAACGGAAATCAAGGATTTGAGCCTCATCGGGCTCTCGGGATGCTTCTCGGAGCTCTCTTGAGGCCTCTTGGAGGCCTCTTGGGCTGTGTATTTGCGGTCTCGAACCCATCCTGGACCACGTTAAGGCTATCTGGGCTGTCTTGGAAGGGCTTGTCGAAGTCCCCGAGGGCTTCTGGGAGCTCTCTGGGACAGTCTGGGAGCTCCAGGGCCGCTCCAGGGTGCTCTGGGGGCGGACTGGGGAACCCTGGTCCTCCCATGCCCTGTCGTGGTCGCGGCCCCGGTCGCCCGGGCCTCGTGCACGGGGATACCTACATCTCTCTCTCTCTCTCTCTTTCTCTCTCTCTCTCTCTCTCTCTCTCTCTCTCTATATATATATATATATATATATATATATACATGGACATATACATATCCGCCGACCCCATGAGGCGTGTGCGGAATCCTTCTCAGCTGTATCCGAGGTTGTCCCCACACATCACACAGTCCCTAGCCATCCTCGCCGGGGCCCGCCCCGACCCCCCCTGTGACCGCCAGCCTCCGCCCCGCGATTTCTCGCCCAAAATCGACCAACGCCCTCCTCCCCGCCCCCCACTTCGTCCCGACACCCCCTTGCTCATGGGCTCTGTTCTTGGGACCCCCGACCCCGCGATTTCTCGCCCAAAATCGACCAACGCCCCCCTCCCCGCCCCCCACTTGGCCCCGACACCCCCCTGCTCATGTGCTCTGTTCTTGGGACCCCCGACCCCGCGATTTCTCGCCCAAAATCGACCAACGCCCCCCTCCCCGCCCCCCACTTGGTCCCGACACCCCCTGCTCATGGGCTTCTGTTCTTGGGACCCCCGACCCCCCGCGATTTCTCGCCCAAAATCGACCAACGCCCCCCTCCCCGCCCCCCACTTGTCCCGACACCCCCCTGCTCATGGGCTCTGTTCTTGGGACCCGCGACCCCGCGATTTCTCGCCCAAAATCGACCAGCGCCCCCCTCCCCGCCCCCCACTTGGCCCCGACACCCCCCTGCGCATGGGCTCTGTTCTTGGGACCCCCGACCCCGCGATTTCTCGCCCAAAATCGACCGACGCGCCCCTCCCCGCCCCCCACTTGGCCCCGACGCCCCCCTGCTCATGGGCTCTGTTCTCGGGACCCCCGACCCCGCGATTTCTCGCCCAAAATCGACCAACGCCCCCCTCCCCGCCCCCCACTTGGCCCCGACACCCCCCTGCTCATGGGCTCTGTTCTTGGGACCCCCGACCCCGCGATTTCTCGCCCAAAATCGACCAGCGCCCCCCTCCCCGCCCCCCACTTGGTCCCGACACCCCCCTGCTCATGGGCTCTGTTCTTGGGACCCCCGACCCCGCGATTTCTCGCCCAAAATCGACCAACGCCCCCCTCCCCGCCCCCCACTTGGTCCCGACACCCCCCTGCTCATGGGCTCTGTTCTCGGGACCCCTGACCCCGCGATTTCTAACCCAAAATCGACCAGCGCCCCCTCCCCCCGCCCCCCACTTGATCCCGACACCCCCCTGCTCATGGCTCTTGTTCTTGGACCCCCGCCCGCGATTTCTCCCTCAACAACGACCAACGCCCCTCCCCGCCCCCACACTTGGTCCCGACACCCGCCCTGCTCCTGGGCTCTGTTCTTGGGACCCCCGACCCTACAATTCTTCCCTCCAAAAAAAACTTGACGACACCCCCCTGCTCATGGGCTCTGTTCTTGGGACCCCCGACACCGCGATTTCTCGCCCAAAATCGACCAACGCCCCCCTCCCCGCCCCCCACTTGATCCCGACACCCCCCTGCTCATGGGCTCTGTTCTTGGGACCCCCGACACCGCGATTTCTCGCCCAAAATCGACCAACGCCCCCCTCTCCGCCCCCCACTTGGTCCCGACACCCCCCTGCTCCTGGGCTCTGTTCTTGGGGCCCCCGACCCCAATTTTCTTGTCTTCTTCCACGACCAACGCCCCCCCCCCCTCCCCGCTCCCCACTTGGCCCCGACACCCCCAAGCTTCTGGGCTTCTTGGGACCCCCGACCCGACGATTTTTCGCCCAAAAACAACCAACGCCCCCCTCCCCGCCCCCCACTTGGCCCCGACACCTCCACGCCTCTGGGCTCTCTTCTTGGCACCCCCGACCCCACGACTTCCGTCCAAAAGCGACCAACGCCCCTCTCCGCGCCCCTCACTTGGTCCCGACACCCGCAGGCCTCTGGGTTCTGTTCTTGGAACCCCCCACCCCACAATATTTCGCCCAAAAACGACCAACGCCCCCCGCCCCGCCTCCCACTTAGTCCTGACACCCCCAGTCCTCTGGGCTCTGTTCTTGGGACCCCCGACCCCGTGATTTTTCGCCCAAAAACGACCAACGCCCCCCTCCCGCGCTCCCCGCTTGGTCCCGACACCCCCAGGCTCATGGGCTCTGTTCTTGGGACTTCCGACTCCTACGACTTCTCGCCCAAAATCGACCAACGCCCCCCTCCCCGCCCTCCACCTGGCCCGACACCCCAAGCCCATGGGCTCTGTTCTTGAGCCCCCGACCCTACGATTTCTCGCCCAAACACGACCAACGCCCCGCTCCCCGCCCCCCACTTGGTCCCGACACCCCCAGGCCCATGGGCTCTGTTCTTGGGACCCCCGACCCCACGATTTCTCGCCCCAAATCGACCAACGCCCCCCTCCCCGCCCCCCACTTGGTCCCAACACCCCCAAGCCTCTGGCTGGTGTTCTTGGGACCCCCGACCCCAGAAATCCCCCCCCCCCCTTCCCCAAAACACGTCCTGCGTCCTTTTCCCCGCGCCTCACTTGGCCCCGACACCTCCAGGCCTCTGGGCTCTGTTCTTGGGACCCCCGACTCCACGATTCCCCTGCCAACATCGACAGATACCCCGCACCTGGCCCCCACCTGGCTCCCACCTGGCCACCACCTCCTTCCGACCCCCGACCCCACGATTTCTCGCCCAAGAACGACCAACGCCCCCCTCCACGCCCCCCCTCCCCCCCCCCCCCCACCTCGCCCCGGCATTCTCTCCCACGGAGCCTTTGTTTTTAAGACCCACGACGCCACGATTTCTCGGCTTGGCTCTGGGCATTTGCGTGTGCAGGTCAGCCATTTGTGTTTGCAGCATGGCTCCAAGGGCATTTGTGTCTGCAGCTTCGCTCTCGGCATGTGTGTGCAGCCTGGGTCCGGGCATTCGTGGGCCGTCCGTTTAGCCGATCCACATGTTGAGGCTATCACGGTTCTCAATATTCGGCAGCATGCCTCTAATACTCTCTCCGCGACTGGGTTCACGACTACGACGAGCGTTCGTCGTTGCTCTTTTCGGAATCGGAGGCACCTATCCAGCCTTATGCTTTTTCGTTACCGACGCATGGGTCCGCTCGGCGACTTCCTTCCGTTTGCGCTCTTGGCCAGCACAACATATGTTGCATCTCTGCTTGCCATTCGCCTTCTGCGTCGATCGTCCAGCCGACCAGTTGCTGTAGTGCTCCCTCCCGAAAGCGCCCTTACATTCTACACATTTCCACTTCCCTCGCTCCAGCTTTGCGCCATCGATGCAGCGCTTGCACTTGCGGTGCTGATCCCCCGCGCACTCCCACATCCAATTCGAAAAGTATTCACGCCGCTGCGCTACCTCGCACACCACGCAGGCCCTCACGTCCTTCCTCGCATCTGTGTTCCGCTGTGCAGCCCCAGCGCTGACGCAGCGCATGCATTTGCGGTCACGATCGGCCACTCCATTCCGCATTTTTTGCGAGAAGAAATCACGCCGTTGCGCCACCTCGCACACACCACAGGCCTTCACGTCTTTCCTCGCCGCCGAGTCCCGTTGGGCGGCCGCATCCTGGACGCACTGGGTACATGCAATGGTCTCTTTGGAGGCGATGCACCACATGTGAGCGGAAAACTCCGCCTTACTCTTCGACTCCCCACATTTCGAGCATACCCTCCGTTTCCCTTCCTCGGCGCGCTGTCTTTCTTCCTCTCTCATTGATTTCTTACACGCTTTGCACTTCCGCTCCTCTGCGTTCCTCTCAATCCTCGCAAAATCGTCCACCAACTTCTCCATGCCGCAGCGGGAACACGTCAGGTGCGTCTTCAACTCCTCGCACTCTTTGCACATCCCCCCTCTGCACCGGCTGTTCCCTGCAAGGTCCCACTGGTACGGCGCGAACGCTTCTTCGTACTTCCGACCATCACACACGCGGCAACTCCGTCTCTCGGGGCAGTCCACGCAACGCCGCGTGGTCAACTTCGACGGGTGGTGCTGTGACGCGTGGAACGCCTCCTGGCACTTCCATAGACCACACTCCATGCATTGCCACGGCGTGCCGGACCTCTTCTTATCTTCCAGGCACACGCTGCACACGCGGAGCCCATCTGCGCGGCTCCACTGCCCGACCGTTGGGTACATGTTCTTGTACTTCGTGCACCCGCAGACCGCGCACCTGCCAGACGGCATGAACTCCAGCTCTATCGCCTCCCAGTCCAAGTCTTCTCCGCGCAACGTGCGCAGCAACAAGCCTGGGCCCTTCCGTTCGTCCTTCTTCTGATACGGCGCAATGTCGAAGGGGCGAAAGATGAGCATGTCCTCACGGCGCTGCACCCGCGTCAGTGCCACGTAGCTCGACAGAGGTGACGTGCCCCCGCCGATGCTCAGGTCCACTATGACACCCTCCTTAAAAGTTTGCCCCTGCGCCGCATGGGCCGTCACGCCGGAGGCTGGAAAAGCGGGAACTGACGCCTTTTCACCTTCAGCCGCGGGTGCGGACGACCTTCGTCCACGAACCACTCCTTCTTTTGCGGACCCACCGGGTGCAAGCCAGGCGTCCTCAATCCCCCGATCGTCCACTTGCACGGCTTCCGACCGCCCTTTCCGTCGTCGCCTTCGTCGAACAATACAAAAATCACTTTCGGGGTTTTCTTCAGAATGGTCTCACCCACCCGCGTGGCCTGATCGTGCTCTGCGTCCCCGTCGCAAACCCAAGACTGAACGCGGCCGACGCGACCGCGCAGGAGGTTCTTGTCCTCGCTGCGATCGATGTGATCAGTCAGAGCGACTGGCATGCCCTCTGCGATGGGCAAGAAGCCGTACAGGTCTCCGCTCTCCTTGTCGTGTCGTTGGAGCCATGCCATTTTCTGCTGCGGCAGATCTGGTCGCTCGCGGAGCGCCTCCGGCGTCGGCGTATCCCGCGCAGGGATGTACACCATCGGCTTCCCGTGCCTGCGCGCGTACTGCGACGCTCGGAGCTTGTTGGCTTCATACTTCACGTCGTTGTTCGGAAACACGCCCGGGGCAATGAGGAACTTCTCCGACTGCAAACGCGGGTCGTCCGGGCCATCCACCACCAGACGGCGCCGCGCACGTTCCCTTCTACACACCTGACACTCCTGTTGGCGGATCTCTTTCGTCGTTGTCGTGCGTCTTCGACGTTGACCTGCTGCACCCGCCACTTCACCTTGCGCGCCGTCGCACAACTTCCGGCATGCCCGATTGCGGCAACCCACGTCTCCGTGCAGCCAGCTCCCCGTCACAGTGGTGTCCTTGCCGTGCAAGAACGCGTGCGCGTTCGCCGACAGCACCCCTGTACGGAATTCGTCCTGCACCTCCTTCAGCCAGGCGTCGTCGCACCGCTCGCACTCCTCCAGCTCGGCCACGCCCTGCACGCCGCACTCGGCCCCACCCCAAAGTAGAGATTTACCATGAAGCACAGGTGGCAGGGATGTGTACTTGCGCGCCGCCGAGATGCGTTCGGTGGTGACGTCCGCAAGGAAGCCTCCGTCGGGGGGGGCCAGTTGCCAAAAGTCACCACTCAGCACGACGTTCAAACCGCCGAACGGGCGCGGCACGCCTCCGTACCGCGCTTCGTGGTGCCCACATCCCGGATGACCCCTCGCAGTTTCGCGTCGACTTCTGCCAGGAGCCTGGCGCTCACCATGCTGATTTCGTCGATGAACAACCACCGCCACTGGAGCACGCGTTTAGCAGTCTCGTACTGCAACTTCACATCTTCCCCCTTCTCTTCTCCACGCTTGATAGCTGGTATGCCGCACGCATGGTGGATGGTGTCCCCTCCTAGCAACTGCGCCATGACGGCTTGCAGGGCGGCGATTTGAAAGTTCACCCCGATACTCCACTTCATCAACCCCTCGAACAGCTCGTGGCGAAGGATGCGCAACACGTGTGATTTGCCCGTTCCAGGGCCCCCGTGCATGCACCACTGCAGAGGGTCCCCCATGGCCGTTTCATCCATTCCCTCGCCATCGATCTCCTGCATCACTCGGCGCGCCACCTTCTTCACCATCTCGAACTGCTTCGCGTTCACTGCGCGCCGCCCCGTGTCCTTGTCCACCCGGAACTCAAGGTCCGCGAGCCATCTCGCCACGTCTTCCGACGTGGCCGCCGCGCCCGCGACGACGACTCCTCCCTCGGCGTCTGCCACCCTGTCGGCCATCGAACACTCTTTATTTCGAGACTTCCGCGCTTCTCGCAGCACCATCTCCAGGTCACAAGCCTGCTCTGCTGGCCACGAGCCTGTTACCTCGCTAAGCGGCGTTTCGCCGTCCCGAAGACCCCACGCCTGCTGCGCTACCTCCATGCCCCCTTTTGAATTGACGTAGTGCGACGTGCCTCCAGCTCCCTGGCCGGCGTCTGCATCCTCCCCCCCGCTGGCGCTGTCTCCGTCCCCGTCCTTTCGTCGCTTCCCGCCCGCGCGCGACTTCAGCGCCTCGTCGAGCTGCTCGAAGCCCACGTCTAATTCAACATCGCTCACGTATTCGTCGCTCCGCTCTTCTTCTTCGTCAGCATCGCGTGGCCGGACGCGATACACACTCAGGAAGTTCCCCACGTACCGCGCGGCCTCCTTCGTCTGCGCTCCGCCATCCAGCCACGCCGCCATGGCTGCATCCCACGTCGACGCTTCGCCGCGCAGGTTCCCTGCGAACACCACGTGTTCGTCCGCCACGTCGGGCCTCAGAGTCCACGGGTGGAAGTACGTCATGACAATGCGCGCCGACCTCTCCGCTTCCCCTGGACGCCCGCGCGGCACGGGCGCTCCGAAAAAGGTTGGTGCCATGGGCCTTTTATTCCGCTTGAGAACCCACGTGTGGCGAATGTGGGCGCACCCTTCGGTGTCTGGATACGGAACCCAATCGTTGCCTCCGTCATCCTTCACCGCGTAGTCAACCCCGGGCACCAAATCCTCCTCCAGACACACGTCCCCTCGCCTCTCACGCAGTTTGTCCTTGCCCAACTGCGTCAAGACTGCATGATGGCGTGGGTGTTCTGCATCCGCGACTCGCGTCGGGTACGACAGCAACACCGGCGTCCAGTACGTTGCGAACTCATATGGGGATAAATGCCACACGTCGGACCTCTTCGGCCGCAGCCCATACAACATGCCCACATCTCGAACAGTCACCTTCCGGCGTCTCTTCTGCCGCATGTCCACCTCGGCAAATTGCGCTCTGCGACCTCCTGCCGCACGGTCTGCCAAGCGCTCGACCAAGTCAACGTACTCGCGGCCGTGAAAGGCTGTCGTCTCGCACGACTTCAATGACTCCGCAGCAGTCACGTCGCCCTCTCGCGCGAAGGCCCTCAGGTTTGCACATTCGACTTGTCCTCGCACAATGTCCTTGCCGTAAGCATCGCTCAGAATCCGGTTCGCTACCCGCTTACCGATCCGATTCACGTTCTCGCCCTGAATCTGCCTGCCCAGCTTCTCGACTCCCTTGCAACACTCTTTCGCCTCGTGGAAAGCTATGGGCTGCCGCTTCGTACAGTAGTCGCAGGCGTATCCTGCCTGTGCGTCTTCCGCCACCTGCGCAGCCCTGATGATCGCTGCATCGTCGAGCTTCCTGTCGCAAGCTTTCCGGCACGTGCAACATGCCCCTGTGATGGGGAACCGATACGGCAGCTGCACGTCCGAATCGAACCGCTCCGCAGACAACATGCACGGATGCGTGCCGTTCAGGCTTGCGTGATTCATCGGCCCGTGGAGGCTTCCAACTCGATTCCGACGCCCTGCCTTCGGCATGTCCAACGCCACCACCTGCCCCGGACACACGACGATAGCGCGGCCTATGATTTGCGCCGTGCGCGGGAAATCCGATTTACACAACTTCGGGTTGTCCTTTCGACGGCACGCTGGCAAAGGTACTCGCTCCCCAGTCTCTTCGTTCTTCAGATGGACGTGGTTCTGCTTTCTTTCCTGTAAGTACTGTACGTCCTCGTCGAGATACGCTTTCTCCCATGCCACAGCGTCCTGCCGAGTCTGCGTCTGCGATGCTTCTGGATGCAGCGTGCGCGTCTGAAACGCGGGCCTGCCTAAGAGCCCATCCTCGACTTTAAACTCCGGCCACGCCTTCTCGGCCTCCTCCAGCCTCCGATCGATTTCCGTCGTCGACACCTGCTCTGAATAAACCTGCCGACAAACGCGGCTCTTATACTCCAAATACCCCTCCATGATCTTCTCCCCGCGGTCTTGCACGTCCTGACGGACGATTTCGAACACCTGCTCGAGCGGAGTGTGTTGGTGGAGGTACTGTATGAATACCTGGCAGTGCGCGTGCAGAGATCCCGAGGATTTCTGCGCTTCGATGGACACGTAGTAGGCATCAACGCGCCCGAAGGCGCACCCGCCGGGCATCGCGTTACTTCAAAACAGGTCTTGACAAGGGATGCCATCCTGTGCGTGATTGCATCGCGGGCAGTTCGGGCAAGTCCGCAGACCGAAGAGGTGCCGGAGCGTCGCGTCCACTATGATGCGGAAGCCGTCGACGCTAGCCATGGGATCACGCGCGAGTAGGCGTCTACGCTCGGCCCACGACGGCACTCCTGCCCGTGCTGCATCCATCGGAAGACCGAGGCGAGCCTCGTCGACGTCGGGGGCTACGCGCGGCCACTCCCGATCCCCCGCCACTCGTGACTGCGCCTGATCTTCTGCTGCCGCGTGCACGGGGTCCTGTCTTCGCGTGCGCGACAGGCGGAGCATGAGCAGATTGTGGCCTTCGTCGGGCGATAAAGTTACGAAGATTGGAACGCCATACCGGACTCGAAGAGCGTTCGTCTCAAACCGCATTACACGACGAGCTTCCTGTGTACCTGGCAAGCGCCGCGACGTGTGCTCAATGTGTGTGAGGAGCTTGTGTGCGGCTTTCCCCAGATTTGGCATGTGCCGAACTTTCGTCATGTCGCCCTTGACCTTCTGCTTTCTGCCGTTGATGTCCACGTACTTCATGTCTAGCGCGCGGTAAATCTGTTTGGCGCCTTCGCCGATCTGCTCAGGCGTCAGCTGTTCCACCTCGCCCGTGGCGCTCGGTGCCACGTACGTGAACCACGTCCTGCTCAGGTTCACCGCCGAGCGGAACACGAGGTTCCACGACACGAACCCGAAATGCCAATCGCGACACAACTGGCTCTCGACGCGGCGACTCATAATCCGCACCCACAGTGGCAGCTCTACACGCGGCGCCCCATTCCCCCTGCGATGACGCGGACGATTCATGAACTCAGGGCCATCTGGCATCCCCGTGCAGTACTTGAACAAAAAACGCGAACGCGACGCCAAAGTACCAGGGCTCGAACTGATCCATCATAACGTTTCCCGTGCGCACGCGAAGGCGGTCCACGCGCTTCCCTTCGGTCGTCGTCTGCTCCAGCATGACGCGCTCCGCCGCCTCCCGCGACGTCTGCTCCGCCCCCGGGCCCGCCCCTTCGCGGACGCGAACGCGTTTACGCGCCCGTTCCGTCGTCCCGTCGCCGCCCTCTTCTTCGCTGGAATCCGACGTCCCGTTCGCATCGCCGTGCGCGCACTCCTCATCCAGCCGTTGCACGAAGGTTCGCACGGCCTCGATCCGCTGCGCATTGATATCTCCCTCGTCGAAGCTGCTCTTCTCACATACCACGGCGTTCGTCTTCGTGCTCTCCAAAATATCTGCCGCCTCCCTTACTCCGTCGGGCCTCGGAACGGGCGTCGCGGCCTTCTGCATCTGGATCTTGTCCAGGGCATCATCCAGGGGTACCAGGCGCATGATCTCCGGGGGCACGCCTTCCTCTGGCAGTTCCATTGCCCTCTTCCGAACATCCTCCATGTCCACGTGTCGGTACGCGCGATGCCCCCGCGCTTTCGCTCCCTGAATCAGATCCACGACCACCTTCCTACGCACCAACGCCTGGTGCACGAACTTGGCCATGCTTGCAGCCGTATCGTCGTCGCCGCCAGACTTCAGCATCACAGACACGATCCCAGCCAGCTCCGCACCTGTGCGCGGCACCGGCGGCGCGCGCCTCTCCGCGGCAGTTGCGTCCGCTGCGCTCACCTGTGCTAGCAGATCCGCCCGCGGCATCGGGAACGAAGTGGCGTTTCCGCGCGCCGCCATGCGGACCTCGTTGCCGCCCGCTTCCATGTCGAAATCCCGATCCTTCCGGTACCGCTTCTCCAGCGTAAAACACACCATCGACGTTGCGCACACTGACGCGCAAATCATTTCCAATACCGTAACCTTGGCGCCGAACACCTCTTCTGGCGAATAAAAGGCCATCATGTCATTGGCCAGCGACGCAGGAGGGGGCGCCGCTTCGCCATGGGGCCCGGCCATCGCGTTCCCGCACTCCCCGCACAACGGGGCTTCACAACCGGCGCATGCACTATTCACGGCGTGCGTCGTGCCGCTGTGGCACCGCATGTCCTCCGGGCAGCAGAGCACTCTCATGGGCCCGTCTCCTGATGGCACGCACACGTGCCAATCCTCGAACTCGTCCATGCGGTCTCGAAGGTGCACGCCACTGCTCCCCTCCCCAGCGCCATCTACTTCGCCGATCCGCTCCAGGTACGAGTCCACCGTCACGTTGTCTCTCACGAACGCGTCGGGGAGACCGAAAAATCCGCCCCCGCTGGCCGTCACCGCGCGCCATTCAATCGGGTTCCCCTTTCGGCCCTCCACGCGGGGGAACTTCCGCGCGCACACCATGCAAACGAGAGAGTGAACGGCGTCCTCTCCCAGACTTCGCGCATACTCGCGTAGGCATCGACGATCGATCGCCAGTGAAGCGAGAGGCGCCCCCTCGCGCACTTTCCAGGCGATCGCCTCGTTGTACGCTGACCAGCACTGCGTCTCACTCCGTTTGGCTTCGTCTTCGTCATGGCACGCGAGCGTCTCCGCGACATGCCGCAACGCCTCGCGATGTTCGCCCAGCACATGTGCGCGCAGCTCCGCTTCGCTGGATCCCCGCCACCCGCACCCTCGAAAAGCGCAATGTGCACGCGGCAGCTCCACGGCACCACGGGAGAAGATGCACTCGCCTTCCAGCGTTTCTCCGTACACAGAGACCGATGGCACGGTGGGGTGGTCTTTCATGAGACCTGCCGCCTTCGTGAGCCCTTCCTCCCTACCCCCCCGGCTCACGTCCGCGGACACGTGCCCGTTGTCGACTGCGCGAACGCGGTACACGTGCGCCGCGCCCGATCTCTCGGCTGCGTCGGCGTTCACAGCCCGGCCTTCGCTCCTCTCCGCGCCGCTCTGACCCGCCTGACTACCCATGCCGCCCACCGCCAGACTCGGGGCCCGCGCAGTCCTTGAGCCGGGCACCTCCTTCAGGTCTCCGGCCTGTCCGGGCGAAACTGCTCTAGCGCTGGCGCTCTCCCAAGTTGCAGACCCATCGGACATCTAAGGACGATGACCCGTATAATGGGTACTGGAACGCTCGCGTGCATTTGCGGGCGCTCAAGCCAGCGTCGCTGCGGCGAAACGCATCGGTAACATTCAGCATGCTCCCGCTCCCAGATAAAGGCAGGCTTCTCGATCAGTTGTCTGCCAGCGTCGACGCGGATAGTGTTCAGAAGGCGCGTGCAAAACTGTCACACTCTGGAAAGTGGGAAAAATTCCAATAAGACTGTGCCTCGGCACGGGGAAACAATACCAAGCCCTGGACGAAGGCCCCGCCCGTGACGAGCCTGACTGGATATCGCTTGCGACCCGTGCTGCCCGAAACGGGCAGGCCGCCAAGGCAACCGTGGCGTGGTCCAACTACTACCAGACCTGCTACATGGGGCGGTACCGTAGCTGCGGCAAGGATGGACTGGCGTACAAGAGCCTCGAGCTTGCCGACGCTGCAGACGGGCGGGTCTGCGCGCACTGCAAGAACTACGGCCGCCCAGATAAGGGGCACGACGTCGTGCATCCCTGCGGGCCGGGGCGGGCGTCCCAAACTCCAGAGCAGCTTGTGTCTAGGATTCCTGGGGGCAGCGGCCGCCTGCTGAAGTGCGCGCGGTGCGGCTACGGCACGCTGAGGTACGGCCAAGGATCCTGCCGGCGTGTCCGGCGGTTCGTTGTCTGCCACTCGAAGCAGTTGCCGAAATTCAAGAAGTGCTCGTGCTGCGGCGCCTGAGCGTTGCCATTCGAGGCTGCCGTGGGCGCCCGTCAAAAAAACATCATCATCCTCCTCACCATCGTCGAAAAAATAATTCATCATCACATTCATCGTCGAAAGAGGCCCACGAGGGCTTCTGCGAGGCCTCTGATAGCCTCTGCGAGCCCACTCAGAGTTTCTGCTGGGCTTCTGGAAGCCTCTACGAGGCCTCCGAGAGCCTCTGACAGGCTATTGAAAGCTTGTGAGAGGTTCTGAAGAGCGTCTCGCAAGCTTTTGAAAGCTTCTGAGCGACTCTGAGGCTCTTGGGGAGCTTTTGAGAAACTCCTGGGAGCGCCTGGGAGGAACGCTGAATTGGTGAACAGATGGGAGCCTCTAGGCAAAGCCTGGGAGATGCCGTAGATGTCGAGAACCCAAGACCAAGGAACCATGTAATCAAGACCAAGGAACCCGAGACACCGATACCAAGGAGCTCCACGACCAAGCACAAGGACCCCGAGATACCAATACCGAGGAACCCAGGTCCAGTACCGAGGAACCCAAGTCCAAATGCCCCAAGACGGCTCAAGAGGTCCCCAAGACGGCCCCAAGACGACATCGACGACGAAGACGATGCGGTTTTCCTGCATGCGTCGATCGCGCAGTTGGCGAAGCCCACAAGACGAACTGGGGGGAGCGCGCGCGCGAGCTGCCTACTGCTTGCGCGAACCGAAATGTTGTCGTGGCCCCTAAGCCAGGCCGCGAGCGCCTGCTCGGCCGCGGCCTCATTAGCCTCGAGAAATTCAGCGCTCGACCTGCGCAGGTTGGTCCAGCCATCCTGGGCGTAGCGCAACGTCCTGTGATGGTGCGCGGAGGAAGGCCACGCGCACGCGCGACGCCATCTCCAAGGGCAGAGAGCTCGCATGGGGAGCTCGTCTGCGTCTGAATGGCAGCGCCCGTAAACTGGGACACCGCCGCAGAGGCTTCCTAACTCGAAAGATCTTCCTCTGGACCACGAACCGTGTGAGGGGTGTGCCGACGTGGGGCGGTAGTGCCATGGCCAGATACTCCACTGCCAGACACCCCACTTCATGGCCAGAGCACGCACCGACTGGCCGCCTTGCGGTGCGGGTGCGCGTCCACCAAGCCCTGGCGTTGCTCGTGCCATCTGCGGGGGCCACAGACTGAATGTAAAAGTTCGTGACTTGCTGGTCGTCGGCGTCCTTCGTGGTCGCGCAGAGTTCCTGGACGACGACGCAACAAAAACCCACGACGACGACGTCGACGACGAAGACGATAAGGCCTTCCTGCGTACGTCGAAAAAAAACAATTAAAACGGGCGTGGCAACCTGCGAGAAATCGTACGGCCTTGCCTTGTTGTCGAAGCCAGAGCAATGGCCGCGTCTGCGGGAAGCGCACTCCTACGAAGTCAGGTTCCCTCCCAAACAAGTCCCCTGACCCAGCGGCCCGACTGGGCCGCAGCCAGTGCCCTGGGAATGCCTTGGGTCCCCCTCCGCAGAGGTGCCCACCATGGTCAAAAAACTGAGAGGTTGCTATTCGTGTTCGCTTCTTGGCTAAGCCAGGTCCCCTCCCAACAGGTCCCCTGACCCCGCGACCCGATTGGGCCGCAGTCAGTGCCCTGGGAGTGCCTTGGGTCCCCCTTCCGCAGAAGTGCCCACCATGGACAAAGAAGGGAAGGGGGAAGGCGAGGCTTCGAATGTCGCCGAGGCCGCAGAGAACATCACGTCAAGGCCCACACAAATAACCGAAACAATAACAAACACTGGCAACGACACTGGCGCCGAAAAAAGAACCAACAAAAAACCTAACACGGAAACATAAAACGGAAAGCGGCGCAGAAACCAAAAGGGAAACACGACGACGACGGCGACAACCAAAAACGACGACGAGTCCTCCAACGATACCTCGGACAGAGCGCCAAGGCCGACACCATTAACCAAAGAGACGGCCGAAACAGAATCCAAAACGGAAATCGAAACAGAAACCAACACGACAACCGACACGGAAACCGAAATTGTAACCGAAGCGGGAGCCGAAGCGGAAACTAACGCGGAAGCCAAACCAAAAACTGACGACCAACAAGAAATCCAACACGGAAACATAAAACGGAAACCGACGCGGAAACCGAAACGGAAACACGACGACGACGATGACGACGGCCAAAAACGACGACGAGCCCTTCAATGACACCTCGGATATAACGCCAAAGCCGACACGACTAACCGAAGAGGCGGCCGAAACGGGAATCGAAACGGACGCCGAACCAGAGACCGATACGACAACCGACACGGAGCTCGAATCCGAGCGGAAACTAACGCGGAAGCAAAAACGGAAATCGACGCAAACGCCGACACGCATTAAAAAAACGCGCTGCAGGATCGAACAAACATTAAAATGTGCATGGGTCCTCTTCCTCCTGCTCCATTTCTCCTGCTCCCCCTCCGCCTCCTTCCTCCTCCCTCCTCCTCCTCCCTCATCCCCATCCTTCTCCCTCTCTTTCCTCCCCAACCGACGACGACGACGACGACGACGACGACGACGACGACGACGACGACAACAACCCCCTCGAGCGCCCCCCCAGGACCCCCCTCCTCCCTCCTCCCTCCTCCCTTCTCCATCCGTCCACCCCCTTCCCCCCTCCTCCCCCTCTCCCGCCTCATCATCATGCCTACTCACCTCCTCCTCCTCATCCTCCTCCTCCTCCTCCTCCTCCTCCTCCTCCTCCCCCCTCCCTCCTCATCCTCCTGCTCCTCCTCATCCTCCCTACTCCTCTTCCTCCTCCTCCTCCTGCTCCTCATCCTCCCCCCGCTGCTCCCTCCCTTACTCCTCCTCCTCGTGCTCCTCCTGCTCCGTCTCCGCCTACTCCTCCTGCGACTTCTCCTGCTCTCCGTTATAATTCTGCTCCTCCGCCTCCTCCTCCTCCTCATCCTCCTCTTCCTCCTCCTCCTCTTCCTCCTGTTCCTCCTCCTACTGGTCCTCCTGCTCCTGGGATCTGCACGTTGATGACATCATCTTCGTATTTTCAAACAAATATGTGTTACTTAACAGTGTTTCGGATGGCGTACAAGGTAAATAAGCCTACAAGCCAAAACCTTCAAAACCTTAGGATGTTTAGCAACTTTTAATAGAAAATATTCGCTTCGCCTGGTACAATCTGCCAAAACAGCCTCTGGGAACCGTCGCCCAAGAGAACCCCACGGAGCTCCAAGAGGCCCAAAGAGGCTCCAAGAAGGTTCAAATATTGTCAAAAAGGCCCCAGTACTATTCCCCAAGCGGGCTTCAGGGGTCTCCCAGAAGCCCCAAATAGGGGAGGCGGTGGTGATTCGCCGTAGGCGTCTTCGATCTACAAGGAGACTATTAATATTTGCGCTGACTGTACGTGGAAAACTTGTTTTCCAAAAAGAATTAAACGGAAACGTGCGAAGGATACGAAATCGTGTTGCGACTTCTCCTATCCGCCTCCTCCTCCTATTCCTCCTCCTCCTCCTCCTCCTCATCATCATCATCTTCCTCCTCCTCCTCATGGTCCTCCTCCTACTTCTCCTGCCAATCCTCCTGCTGCTCCTCATCCTACTCCTTATATGTTCCTCCTACGCCTACTACTCCTCCTCCTACTCGTCCTACTCATCATCCTACTATTCCCCCTGCTCCTCCTGCTCCTCCTCCTCCTCCTGCACAACTTGTATTTGAAAATATGCGTTTCGCCTGGGGCAATCTGCCAAACCAGCCTCTGGGAACCTTCGCCCAAGAGAACCCCACGGAGCTCCAAGATGCCCAAAGAGGCTCCAAGAAGGCTCAAATATTGTCCAAAAGGCCCCAGTACTATTCCCCAAGCGGGCTCCAGGGGTCTCCCAGAGGCCCCAAATAGGGGAGGCGGTGGTGATTCGCCGTAGGCGTCTTCGATTTACAAAGAGAATCTTAACCCTTGCGCTGACTGTACGTGGAAACCTTCTTTTCCACAATGAATCAAATGGAAACGTGCGAATGATACGAAATCGTGTTACGACTTCTCCTCTCCGCCTCCTCCTCCTCTTCCTCCTCCTCCTCCTCCTCCTCCTCCTGATCCTCCTCCTACTTCTCCTGCTAATCCTCCTGCTGCTCCTCCTTCTACTCCTTATCGTTTCCTCCTACGCCTCCTCCTCCTCCTCCTCCTACTCGTCCTACTCATCATCCTACTCTTCCTCCTGCTCCTCCTGCTCCTCCTCCTCCTCCTCCTGCTCATCCACCCCCTCCTTACTCCTCATCCTAATCCTCCTGCTGCTGCTCCTCCTCCTCCTCCTCCTCCTCCTCCTCCGTACTCCTCCTCCTCCTCCTCCTCTCCTCACTCCTCCTCCTCCTCCTCCTCCCTCCCCCGACGCCTCCTCCTCCAACCGATCCTCATCCTATCCTCCTCCTCCTCCTCCTCCTCCTCCTCCTCCTCGACTCCTCCTCCTCCTCCTCCTACTCCTCCTCCTCCTCCTCCTCCGCCTCATACTTCTCCTCCTCCAACTGCGTTGCGGGATATTCCGAAAGCGCATACTGGTTCACGGAATTCTGTCGCCACACAAAGCTTATCACACTGCCCGTCATCGTTGTTCGAGCCGCAAGGTCAGTGCGCGCGAGGACAGAAGAACATTCATCAACAAACATAAGCCACCCTCCCACATCTTAATCCTTGCGCTGGCTGTACGTGGAGAGCAATCAATGAATCAAATAAAACATGCGAATAATTCTTACGCAGGTTCACCTTCGGAAACCTTGTTGCGCCTCCTCCTCCTCCTCCTCCGCCTCCTCCTCCTCCTACTCCTCCTCCTCTTGCTCCTCCTCATATTCCTCCTCCTCCTCCTCCTCCTAATCCTCCTCCTCTACTCCTCCTCCTCCTACATATTCTCCTCATCCTCCTCCTCCTCCTCATCCTCCTCCTACTCCTACTCGTCCTACTCATCATCCTACTTTTCCTCCTACTCCTCCAGCGCCTCCTCCTCCTGCTTCTCCTCCTGCTCCTCCACCCCCCCCTCCTCATCCTGCTCCTCCTTACTCCGCCTCCTCCTCCTCCTCCTCCTTACTCCGCCTCCTCCTCCTCCTCCTCCTCCTCCTCATCCTTCTCCTCCTTACTCCTCTTTCTCTTTCTCCTCCTCCTCCTCCTACTTCCTCATCCTTCTCCTCCTTCTCCTCCTCCTCCTCCTCCTCCTCCTCCACCTCCTCCTCCCCCTCTCCTCCTCCTCCTCCTCCTCCTACCTCCTCCTCCTCCTTCCTCCTCCTCCAACTCATCCTCTCCTATTCCTCCTCCTCCTCCTCCTCCTCCTCCTCCTCCTCCTCCTTACTCCTCCTACTCCTCCTCATCCAACTCATCCGAAGATGTACAGTGCGCGCGAGGACAGAAGAACATGCATCAAGAACGCCAGCCCCTCCGATGGGGAAAAGCCCCTCCGCTGGGGACGAAAACGAAGCCAGCCTCCTCCTCCTCCTCCTCCTACTCCTCCTCCTACTCCTCCTGCTCCTCCTCTTCCTCCTCCTCTTAATCCTCCTCCTCCTACTCCTCCTCCTACTACACCTTCTCCTCATTCTCTGCGCAGCCGCTGCGGCCCGACACACTGGCCCCTCGGAGGCCCGAAGCAGCGAGGAGCCGGCCGCCTCGACTTCTGTCGAGCCGCCAGACAGTCCGGTGAGGTGGTCCCTCCGCCCTCCTCCGCCCTCTTCCGCCCTCCTCCGTCCTCCTCCGCTCTCCTCCGCCCTCCTACGCCCTCCTCCGCCCTCCTCCTCCTCCTCTTGCTTCGCCCTCCATCCCCTCCCTCCTGCTGCTACCTCCGCCCTCCTCCTCCTCCGCACTCCTCCTCCGCCCTCCTGGGGGACAACGCTCGGCGGGTGCGCCGCGAGGGCGCCTCCCGGCCGATCCCTGGGCAGGCCTCCCAGCGGGCCGACGAGCTCAGAGAGCAGCAAGGGGGCCTCGCGCCGCCCGAGCGCCGGCGAGATCGGCCGAGGTCTCGGAGGACGGATCGAGGTTCAAGGATCGAGGACCGAGGTCGTCGTCAGTCGTCGTCGTCGTCGTCGTCGTCGTCGTCGTCGTCGTCGTCGTCGTCGTCGTCGTCGTCGTCGTCGTCGTCGTCGTCGTCGTCGTCGGTCGTCGGTCGTCGGTCGTCGTCGTCGTCGGTCGTCGGTCGTCGGTCGTCGGTCGTCGGTCGTCGTCGGTCGTCGGCCGTCGGCCGTCGGTCGTCGGCCGTCGGTCGTCGGTCGTCGGTCGTCGGTCGTCGTCGGTCGTCGGTCGTCGGTCGTCGGTCGCCGCCGTCGTCGGTCGTCGTCACAGAGAGGAGGAAGAGGAGGAGGGGGGGGAGGAGGAGGAGGAGCGAGGATGGAGAAGGGACAAGGGACGAGAGAGGAGGGAGGAGGGAGGGTAGGGGGAGGAGAGACGAGGTGCGAGAAGGGGGAGGGAGGACGAAGCGGAGAGAGGCAGAGGAGGCGGATGATGAGGCAAGGCGTACCAAGCAGCCACTTTCATCTGTGTGTGCTTTCCAATGGGGGGGTATCCTTGGTCGGGGTTGGTGACGTGGGCACCCCGAACCAGCGATATTTTCTCTCCCCTCCGATGGTCCTCCTTCTCCGATTAGCGGGCCAGGATGGCACGCGGGCTGAGAGACGGCCTTCAAGCTCGCACCCTCGCTCTGAACCAAACAGCAAGCAATATTTGCTTAACTTGCCTCCCGCCGCGCAAGTGCGGCCGCAAAACGTACACACAAATTGCTCTGCCGTTGCATGAGACGGCCTTCAGACACGCACTTCACGCCGGCAAATTATTGGAAACCAGACGGGGGAGGGGAGGGTAGGGCACTCTTGGGAGGCATGGAAGAGGGAAGGAAGACGTCGGGCGTCACAAAGTCACGGTGCTGGGCTTCGCTCCAGCATCACTTCGGGGCATCTGGCCGCCCTCTACGGAGGCTCTCATGACGCAGGAACGCCACAAAGTCACGGTGCTGAGCTCCAGACCAGCATCGCTTCGGGGCATCTGCTCGCCCTCTACAGACGCTCAAATGTTGATTTCCTCCTCGGCCACCGGAATGGCCCCCTCCTTGGCCCCCGAGGCCGCCCGGAGACAGCAAAAGTACGAGACTCCATCAGGCACCCAACTGTCCCCCAACGGAAAAATCTAGCAGAAGCGGCTGCGCTGTGATTCTCTCTCGCCGCTCTGGCTGGCCCTCGAGTTGGATCTAAGCCACTGTTGGTTCCTTGGGCGCGGGTTTCTGGAAGGCGGGGTCACTGGCGCCGCAGAACATGCCGCCCTTGTCGGCCCAGTAGAACGCCGGAGAGGTCATCGCCCAAAAGATCACGTAGGCACCGTGGACCTTGAACGGGAGCAGGGTGTCGATGGGCCCAAGGGTGTTGTAGAAACACCACAGGGCGATCACGGCGCCCAAGTTCCCGCCCGCCCCCACCAGCGCGGATGTGCACGCGAGCTGCTTCGGGTTCATGAACGGCACGATGCCGTAACTGGTGCCCTCGGTCATCTGCACGAAGAGAGAGAAACACAGCAAGACGGCCAGGGCGACGTACCATGGCTGCGAGTTCTCCACAGATCCGAAGCCGAGCAGGAAGATGCCCTCGAGGAAAAGGCAGAGGAACTGAGCCCAAATACGGCCAGAGAAACCGAATCTGGCGAAAAGAAAATCGCTGAAGATGCCGCCCAATGAGCGCGCGAACAAGTTCATCAGGCCGAAGGAGCCTGCCAGGGCAGAGGCAGCGCCGGCCTCCATCTGGAAGTAGACGCGGAAATGGGTGGCCAGCTGCGCGTTCATGACCAGCTCCGTGCCAAAGCAGGCGCCGTACTGGAAGATCATAATGACGATCCTGGGGTCCTTCAGGCACTCCACGTAGTCCCACATCGACGCGTTTGATGTCTTGCCCGTGTCGCTGGTCTTGAAGCGGGGCCCCGTTGGCATGTCCCAGCAAAACAGCTTCATGCTGATGGCAACCGCGACGAAGACGCAACCGGGGACGACCATGGACAGGCGCCAGGCCGTGTCAGAGCTCGCGCCCATCTCCTGGAAGGGCTTGAACAGGCACCACACGATGAAAATCTGTGTGACGCCGCCGCCGAGGTTGCCCCACCCCGCTGCGGTCGCGTTGGCGGTGCCCACCACGTTCGGGGCGAACATGAGGGAGCACCAGAACTGATTTGTGACGAACGTGGCCCCCGCGCAACCGATCATCATGCGGATCCGCCGGCCCCCGCTTGCCAGAGGTGACAAGGCGTGCGAGACAGTTGGCTGTCCCACTTCCCCTTTCCCCCTCCCCCCTCCCCAGGGCCCAAAATCACCGTTCAGGCAGGGGGGGGGGCACGAGCTCCCCGGGGGTTGGGGCACGAACTCCCCGGCGCATGCCCGGGGCCCCCAGAGCCCCCAAATCTGCACTCCGCGGCCTCCAAGATGTCCACCATGCCATTGAAGCTGGAGCTGGGCTCCAACACGTCGAGGAGGCCTCAAAAACACCAAAGATGGCCTCCAGACGGCCCAAGAGGGCTCCGAGACGACCCCAGAAAAAGTCCCAAGAAGCAAAAACCGTCCCAATACGCTGGGAAAACGTACATGCTTTGCGTATTCGCTTCTTTGCTCTTAACAGCGTCCAACGCTGCCCTGGAGGCCCCAAAGAGAACTCCAGGACGGCCCAAGAAACTCCCAAGAGGGCCCCAAGACCACGAGGGGCATTTCGAACCGACACTTTGAGTCCCCCGGCCCTCGAGGGTACTCGATTGCACCAACGGGAGCTCAAGAACCTGACCGGACAAGAACGGGAAGCGCCGCTTTAGCGAGCAAGCTTGTCAGAGGATGTATGGTTGAGAACGTCAAAGAAACTCAGAAACGTAACACCTCAGACCAAGACATGTACTAAATGTCGGTTCATTGTGCTGGTCTGCCTTGCTGGTCTGTCGAGCTAGTGTGCCGCCCTGGGCGCATGATGGACCTCGTGGGCCGTCGAGGGCTCTTGGAGCTCACTTGGGCCCTTTGGGGCCCTCTTGGGAGCCTTTTCGAGGGCCTGTTGGGAGCCTTCGGGGAGCCTCTTGGGGGCTTCTTGGGCCCTCTTGGGCTGTCTGGGCGCGTCTCGAGGGTATGCGCGGGCTCTCTTGGGCCATCTTGGCGCCCTCTTGGGCCGTTTTGGGGCTTTCTTGGGCAGTATGGGAGCCTCGTCCGGCGCTCTTGGGGGCCTCTGGGCGCCTCTTGGGGGCCTCTTGGGTGCCCCTTGGGGCGCTTTGGGGTTCCTCCGGGGAGCCTTTGGGTACTCCTTCGGGCCATCTTGGAACCCTCCGGGAGCGATTCCACGATGATGTTGGCTCAGAACCCCTTCCGGAACCGATTTTTTGAGAATGCCCCCTAGCGAAACGGCAATTTTTCAGAAACCTGACCGGACAAGAACGGGGATGGCCGCTTTGTCAACGAAGCCTGCCAGAGAATGTCAGAAACTCAGAAACGTAGACCAACAATGCAGCAGTACGGCAGACGAGCACGGCAGACCACAGCAGAACGGCAGACCAGCACGGCAGACCACAAGTGAACGGATGACCAGCACGGCAGAACGAGAAGGAGCACAGCAGACCAGCACAGCGGACCACAGGAGCACGGCAGACCATCATGGCAGACCACAGTAGCACGGCGGACCAAAACGACAGTCTATAGGAGCACGGCAGACCAACACGACAGACCACAGGAGCACGGCAGTCGACAGGAGCACGGTAACACAGGAGCACGGCAAACCAACACGGGACACCACAGCAACATGGCAGACCACAATAGCTCTACAGACCAACGCGGCAGACCACAGGAGCACGGCTGACCAGCACGGCAGACCACAGGAGTACAGCAGACCAGCACGAGCTTCATATGTATTGGGATGGTACCGAAAACTTGCATGTTTGATGATGTTTGCAGCGGCAGCTACATTTCGAAGAAACCAAGAATTCGGAATATACTTCAACGTTGCATGTTCGCGAGGATGTCTGCAGAGAGAGAAAGAGAGAAAGAGAGAGAGAGAGAGAGAACCTCACTTTTAAGGAACATCGTCGGATGGCAGATCCTCCTACATTCCCATTTGGGGAGGATGTATCAGGTGAAACGTTTGTGCTTGCAAAAGCGATGCTGGTAAATTATTAGTTTGATGAGGATGCCCCTAGCGAAATCGTATTTTTTTGTCGTCTTGAGGGCGCTCGTGGGGTCATCCTGGGGCCCATGTGGGGCTCTTTTGGGAAGTATTGAAGCTATCACGACATGGTTAGAATATTACGCTCGGAAGATATCATGTTTGAGGATGTCCCTAGCGAAACCGTCGTTATCGGAAGGCTATTTGGGGCTATCCTGAAGCAGTTTGAGAGCGATTCCAATACGATGTTAAGCACGCGTTTCTTGAAGGGCGATGTCAGATGTGTTTCATGCTTTGAAGTTATCCCAAGCGAATCGTAATTTTCGGCAGCCTTGAGGGCGTTATTGGAGCCATCTTGGGGTCCTTTTTGGGATATTGTTTCTCTGCCTTGAGGCACTTAGAAAACGATACCATTCAGATGCTGGGAACTTTTGAAATGTTGAGGATGTCCCTGGCGAAATGGCAACTGTTGGAAACGACGTCGAAACATACAGCTGCGTTGGTCTGCCGTGTTCCTCATACTTTTCTGAGGATGTCTGCAGCGAGAGCGTCGATTTCAACATAAAAGGTAGTCCGCCGACCCCCGCTTGCCGGAGGTGAAAAGGCGTATGAAACATTTGGCTGTCCCCCTCCCCCTTCCCCCCTCCCCAGGGGTCCAAAATCCGATTAGAGGGGGGGGCCAGGGGAGGGCGGGGGGGTGGAGGGACGAGCTCCCCAACGCACCCTGGGGGCCCCCAGAGCTTCCAAAAAAAAAAACCCCAATACGGGCCAAGAGATCCCCAAGAGACCCCCAAGACGCTCCAAGAGGGCCCAAAATAGCCGAATGATCGCTCCAAAACGCCCAAGATGGCCTCCAGACGGCCCAAGAAGCCTCCAAGACGCCCCAAGAGGCCTCCCGAGAGGGCCCCAAGAAGCAAAAACCATTGCTTTTCCTGCAGTTTTTGACAGTGTTTGGCCTCTCGCCTTTTCGGCTTCCCGACGCTCCAAGACGGCCTGAGAGGCCCCCAAGATCGCCCCAAAACGGCTCAAAAGGCCCCCAAGACGGCCCTGGGACGGCCCGAGAGGGCCCCAAGACAGTCCAAGAGGTGCCCAAGGCAACCCAAGAGGGCCCTGAGACGGTCCCAAGTGTCAACGATAATGGGCGCACGATGTCTTTCATCGCTGCAAGCTCCGCGACGTCGAGCGTTATGAAAGTGGTCGCCACGCGATCAATCACACACAGCAGTCTGAAATCAGGGAAACCCCAGGCAACGACTGGAGCACATCTGATAACTTGTTATCTGCTGATATCTCAAAAATGGATAAATGGATCCCCTGATATGATTAGAGCACAAAAGGCAGCGGCACACAGCTTGTGATGTTATGTTGTGTTAACAAATCCTCGAACACCTAGTGAATTGAAAAATATCAAAACTGTTTGATCTACTGCGCTTCGAGCTGAGCACAAGACCTGCTCATCTTCACACATAGTATACATTTTGCAGCTACGAAACTGGGGATCAGCAGCTTGCATGAAGAGCCTTACACTGTAAGAGACAGTGCGCTGTCTGAACCTGCATTCAGCATTGGTGCTCCAGCACCTGTCGAAGAAACACTGCCGCGTGCTCACGTTAAAACGAGACAAGTCCCAACCACGGTTGTAATGATTGACGATCCTCGCCACAAGGTCCACCTTGATGCCTGACACCGGGAGCTTCAACTCGCGCAAAATCCCTTGCAATGCGTAGTTCGGCATGGCGTTTAGCTTCCTCTCGATGTCTGCAGGCGCCCGCCTCGCAAGGTCGTCGGTCTTCATCTTGTCGATGGCGGATGGCCCCGCGATGCCCGCCAATATGGCGATGCTGGAGCGAGGCGTCGTATGTGTGTCCGGTGGCTTGTTGAAGTCGAATCCGGCGGCGCGCAGGCGCCCCTCGGCGGCGCTGCATGCAGTAGCCTCCGGCACATGCTGAATTATCTGCTTAGCCCCCTGCCCCTTGGACAGACATTGAAACAAAAAACGAAACGCGGCCATGATCAGCGCCCCGATGGAAACTCCAAGAGCAAGCACTCCGGACGGCGAAAGCAAAGACTGCGACCACTAATCGAACGGCTCCACCTGGGCGCGTGAAGCTTGTCGATGCATCGATGGGTCACGCGCTGCATTCGCTGCAGTACCTGCTGCAAAGAACGGGGGAGCTGATCCCGATGAACAGCTGCTTGCCAGTACGCCTGAAAACAACGCTGCACGCATCGCGCGCGACGACGCGAAACTCACTGCGGAACTCACTTCAGCTGTATGCGCGACCTCGTGTACGTCAATCCTGCTTAATGTCGTCCATGGCGCTGTGATCTGTTGGGCGTGCGTAGTTGGCGTTGAGAGTGTCTGCGTCCTCCTGTAGCTCCACCCGTTGGGATCGATGTAGCTCCTCCCGCAGGTCGGTGAGCTGGCGCTTCCGGAAAGGAGGTGCACGGGGATCTGGTCCGAAATACCAGAGGTCCTCATGAAGGACTCGGTCTTGGCAGGGTGTATCCATCTTCTCGGCGAGCCCGTCGGCTAGCTGTTGTCCTGGCCATGCCCGCTTGATACCTCCACGCTGGCACTCCTGCCTGATAATGGCAGCCTCGAGTGAAAGCCTCCGGTCGGATAAGTGGGCGCGCTCCTTGACCGTGCAATCCCATAGAGAACGAGAGCCGGTAACCAAAACACCTTGCCAATATTCAGCTGCATAACGGTACTCATGGCCGAGCTTGTTGGGAGAAAAAATGCATGCGCACGCTGCGCGAGCCCAGAACGTCACATCTTGAGCTTCCGAACAACCGTAGCCCTCCGCTGATAGGCACTCCGTACAGCACGTCCGATACGTCCGCTTGACCAGGATAAAAGTATGCATGGGTAGAGCTTGGCGTGGTCCTCCGTCATGTCGCCATCTCCAACAATGATGTAACATCCGCGCTGGCTCTCGTGGTTCGGCACGTTGTCGAATGAGGCGTCGCGCGGGGCGATGGCCACAGACTTCTCGAGTTCAAAACCTTCGCGAAACATCATCACCATCTCCCCCTCGCGGCGGATAGAACGAACAAGCTTGTTCATGTCCTTCATGTCCTGCACCGTCGGTTGAGTCAGCTGGCCTGCCAGCCTGGATGCCTCGAAGCTGTACTTGTGAAGCAAAAGCCGTACCACCCACTGAACCTGTCCATTCATGCCTCCTAGCGCTCGGTGTTCAGCTGCGGTGAACTTCTCCTTCTCCCGCCTAAACCTCTCAAAGGCCATTCGGTAGTCGGTCATGCCGTCGATGCACTCGCCGATGTCGATCGATATTACATAGTCATGGTCCTGCTTGAAGCGTCGGCCCGTACATGCCGCTCCTTCTGGTGTGCTCTGCACAGAACTCTACCTGCTCCTTCAGCTTCTTGATGGTGCTGCTGCAAAGCTCGCGGTTGTTCTCCATGTCGAAAGCGATGAACATATCGTCGATGTGTAAGCACAAGAGACCCACCAGCATGCCACGATGTATGAGTCTGAACGCGGCCGTCTCGAACTGCAGCTGCTCGGAGCCAATCGAGAACAGGATCGGGACGATACGCATGCACCGCGCCCATGCCGCGTCGTTGGCCCCGTAGATGCTCTTGTTGGGCTTGAGTAGCCCCCCCCCCCCCCCCTCGAGTCCAGGCATGCCCGTGCCCGGTAGGTTCTCGGGCAACATGAAGTACAGCTCCATCTCGATCTTGACTCCTTGCAGAAACGCGCCAGCAGCGTCGCCAGTAAAGCATGAAAGCCGCTTGCATGCTGCAATGCTGCAAACCAGGTTCTGATGGCGAGCGAGTCGGGGAGTCGCTGCGTAACTTCTCGTCGTACTTTTCCTGGAAGCCTTTGCCGACGACCCGGCGCTTGGGCTGGAAGTCGGCGTCGTAGTCGCTGCCCTTGTTCGTCCGTGCGGCACGACTCTCGATATGCAACGCCTTGTCGATATTCTTGGCCATCGTCGGTGCGATGGCCGTGACTGCGTCGTACTTGGACCAGGTACCCCACTCCTTGACAAGCGCGTTGAGGGTCTTCTCCGCGCGCTCCTGACTGCATCCGTCGTCATTAGTGAACACCTCCGTGACGTTGATCTCCGCCATGGTCACCCGATCGGCTCGTTCGGCAGAAAAGGCCTCGCACAGCACCTGGTTGGTAGCATGCGCTGTACGAGCGCGCTTGCCCGTGGCGGTCGCGGCAATGTCGTGCCCGATGTGTGCGCGCTCCGCGCAGACTGTCTGAGACGCCGGGGTCTTCCGCTTGAACTTCTGTCGCGCACGTTGTCGTTGCGGGGCGCTAGGCTCCCGAGGTGCACGGTCAGCTGCTCGCGCAGGCTGACTCCTTGGACTTGTTGGGAGGCGCAGCTGCTGGAGGCGGATTGTCTAGCCCATTGGATTGGGGAGGCCCTCTCGGTGCCGGACCTTCTGCCCCATCTCTTTGCGGCGGTGTATCTCCTCCTGGATCACGTCCTCCCGATGAATATTGCTCGGCCCTCTAGGTATATTCCGCCGCGATGTCGAGCATGTCCATGTCGCGCACTAGAGGAATATCGAAAGGAACCTCCAGACTGTTGCGTGACAAGTCCTCCCAAATAGCCTTGGTGATGCAGTTAAGATATGCGTCGTCTCAGTAGCTTGTCCAGCGGGATGACATCCTCTCCCGGAACTGTCGTCGTCGCACATCTTGCAATCCGTGTAGCTAGAATGGCGTCGTGAAGGCCGCGGGACTCAGTGCCGACGATCAGGGGCCATGACTCCGGCATGCTGCACGAGCCATCTGGCCACTCCACCTGCACGCGCCGCCGCCGAGCCAGTGGTTGATCTTCATCATCTCCGTCACGAGCTAGAACTCAGCCCATATGCTGCGCATGGGGGTTCTGGTGGCTGTGCAGGCGCAGGTGGTGGCTGAGGTTGTAGTCCATGCTGTAGCGGCTCCCTTGGCGCGGTAAACGCGGTGTTCCGAAGGTCCACAAAGCCGCGCCGTCCACGCGGTGCCCCCTGCCATTCTCGTTGATCGACGGGCATGCGGTCCTCGAACTCGTTGAGCGTAGATCTCCGTAGGATGTTCGGTCCTGCTAGGATGGGCATCCCGTTGTGAGTCAGCCAGTAGCCACACTGATCACATCCAATAACTCGAGCTGGCCCATGCCATTCCCGATGCAGATCTCGCTTGCCTCCACCTGTTCGCCAATAGTGGGCCCACTCGCCACGCTCGCAAGGCCCAGGCTGAGGTCGGGTATTCGATAGCACCGCTCGTCGTAGAGCTGAGCTGTTGGCTGCCTGGTGGACTGCGATCTCACATGTTCCCTGTAATTGTGATCGGTGCCACGTGAGAGATCCGCGTGCTACTTGTCCTGCGATCACCGGGTCGGCGTTGAGATCTCCAAATGATGCTGGTGTAAATGGATTTTCGCCAAGAGCCCGTTGAGATGGAGAGAAGCCCTTGTTGTTAGAGAGTCGGTTGATGGTCTGGGCGATATGATATCCAACAATATTTCCCCCCGTCGTCTCTCGCCTCGAGCTCGTGAAACACCTTTGTAGCCATCTCCTTGAAGAACCTGATCTTCCTCTCCAACTTTCCATGCAGCTGGCGTTCTTCTGGTGCCACTCGAAAGCATGGAATTCCAAGGTCCTCGCACATAGCCTCGAACTCCAGACGAAAAGCTGCGTCTGGGTCGATGTGAAGATTCCGCGGCGTCATCAAATTGCGCTGCCGGCCCTCCACGAACGCAACCTTGGCATGGTTTGACATGGGGATTGGCTTGCGATCTCCACCGCTAATCATCCACTGAATGGTGGTGAAGTCGGCAGACAGGTCTAGCATGAGCAAAGGCGCGTGCATGGTTCCGTAAAGGACAGGCACGTAGGCGATGTCCATGCCAAGGCATTGATTGAACTTGGTCCAATTCGGTAGGTTGGTGATCGGATGTGATGGCGGTCGTTGCAGAGCGTCGCATAGCTCGCCCTTGAAGAGCTTTGCTGCCGAAGTCGCCGCTGGTGAGCCCCCGCCGTTCTGGATGTGCCTCGGGGGCTCTTCGCCTCGTAGTGCATGAGAAAACTGAACAAGCAGCTTCTTGGTCGCTGTCTTCATGATAGCTGGTGCCTGCTGCCAATCGTTGTAGGTCTCCGCGCTCGAGCCCGTGATGAGTCCTGAGCTTTACGTGAAGCCTGTAGCGGGGCACGCGTCAGTAATGATGGGAACTCCGAGGATGGTCGAACCTCCAAACAGCTTCTCCAACCCGTACTGATGCTTCGTGCCCCCCAAGATTCACTCTGCCAGGTCGGGTGTCCATACTGCATAGTCGCTTGACTTGCCGCCTCGACCTTGAACTCTCCATGTCAATGATCTTGGGGGCATCGAACCTCCAGTGCATATGCCAATGCCACTGCTGAGGTAACAAGCCTCGTAGGCTTGAGCAGCAAATATCCGTTGTCGCCTTGTAGGCCAAGAGCACGCTGGCCACAACGAAACCAGATCAGCATATCTTTAGGTAGAGCCTGCAGTATCATCGTCCATTCCTGCGAGCATAAAAGGTTCTCCAATTGCACATGTCGTTTCTGCCCCAGTCGAAAACTTGACCACTTGAACGGCAAACTGTACATGTGCAAATGCTGTTGTCCGGCGTCTCCGACGTTCCTTCGGCGGGTAGAAGTTGTCGATGGGGGAGAGGCCGTCGCGCGGGAACGGGGCGATGGTGAGGCGCGGGTCCTCCTCCTCTAGCTCCCTCGTGGTTGCGGCTTGCACGCTTGGTAGTGGCAGGTTGTCGCCGGTGGTGCGCGGGCCCTTGCATTGACCCGTCTTGAGTCCGCCACTCGTTGCCATCTTCGTTACGTTGCACTCTCCGCCGTGAACATTCTTCACGACTGTCCCGGGCACGCGTCGCCGATGAGCATCGGTCCGCGAGACACTCCATGTAGCCCGCTGCTCACACCCTTGTTCTGCGATCCATGCGACTACCTGCTTCTTCCAGGATTTCGTCGTGATGCCGGTGTCCGTGGCCGCCTCCGACTGGATGGGTCGGTCGCCTTGAGGAAACTGAGCTTCTTCTTCAGCAGTCCACACATCGAGCGTCTTGGCGCTGACGGTCGGTGCTTCAGCTCGTTGTGTCTCCCTGGGGAAGTCCGTGATTTTGATCATCAGGTGGTTCTTCCTCGAGAATGGGAATCTTCGCAGGCTGGTCCGATAGCTTCTTGAATGTCACCTGGTTGCCCATGACCTTGACGACCGTGTCTAGGGCGTCCAACTGATCGACGCTCATGAGCATGAGGGCGTCCGAGTCGGGTAGCCTCTCGAAGATGAGCGTGCAGTCCCCCTGCCTTGGATGCCACTTGGTACTGCCTGTGTGCTTTCTGTTTGCACTGGCGCCGCCGTGTTGGTTCCCTTAAACACGCTTTTGGTTGGCATCTGCATGTCGGCCTAGTTGAACTTCTCCAGTTGGTTGTCGGTCGCTCGATCTCCGGCACATGGCGCCAGAGCTGCCTTGTCCAGTACCACGTAGCCCGGTGGTGCCGCATGGTCAGCCACCATCGTGTCGATCATGGTGTTCGGCACGCTGCTGACGTTGTTGGTCACCTCGGTCGGGTTGATCATGTAGTTCTCCATCGGGAAGCCGACTCTGGTCGCTAGCATGGCTCCGGCCAGGCCAATGCGAGCCAGAAAACCTCCAGCACGTCCTTTTCCTGTCCGCGTCCTTTGGCAACGCCGAAGGCGCCGCCCGTGCCGGCCAGCCATGGTCTTGCTGCACTCTGGATCTCCGGCCCAGCGCCCCTTCTCGCCGCACGCGCCGCACTTGCTAGCCTTCTGGAAAACTCCAAGTCGGTCTTGAAGATCCTTCGTGCCGCAGCTGATATTGCCGTCAAAGTCGATGTAGGCATTGCCCTGCTTGAAGCCTCTGTTCGCCTTGCCGCCCATGATGAACTGGCGCTGCTTGGTGTAGTCGGGTCCTGAAAATCCTGCCTTGCCCTTGCCGCGGCCCCTTGCCGCAATCGCGCCCTCGACCGTCTGATCCTCTGCCGCGAAAGTTGAAATCTCCTCCTCGCTCATGTCGTTGACGTCGACCGCCGCCATGGCTGTCTGGATCTCCTCCATTCTTGCTGAAAGGATGTCCGTCTCGTCTCCGTCCTCCGCGTCGCCGTCCTCGTCTCCACTGTAGTTGCCTTCGTCCCCGTCGTCTTCGTCGCCTTCTGGGATTGCTCCGAAGGCTGAATTCCACCGGAACTTGCGTCCTCCTTCGCGTCGCGGATGTCCGCCTCGCGCGCCCAGGTTGTCGACCTGGATATCCCGGACCTCGCGAATGGCGCACTAGTCGCACTCGTTCTGCGCCTGGCCCAGAAACGCCATGTGCTGCGTCTCGGTGATGCCACTCATGTCGAGCTGGAAGAAGGTCCTGAAGTCCTCCGAAAACTGCGTGCCTCCTCGGGTCAGGTCTCGTAGCTTCTCGCATGCTTGAGCTCGTCGCTGGATGAAATATTTGATCGGCTCGTTGGGTCTGCGGCGCCCGCGCCCGGAAAAATCCAAAAAACGCATTGTGCTTCTGTCGGGGGGCCACCTTCCCGCAGTGACTCCGTGCCGTCTTGAGTATCGCGTCCAGCGCGGCCTCGGTGGCCTCGTCATTTTCTGCGCCAGCGCTGCCTTTCTTGAAATGCTTGCCGAGTGCTGTCACGCTGATTTTCTCGTCTTTGTGGCGCAGTGTCCACGCTTTGTCCGTCGGGCCGTTGTTCACTTTTGCGATGAAGCTTTTCTTTTTCTCTCTGTTTTCCATTCAGAGAAATCCCAGCCGAACTCTCTCTCTCTCTCTCTCTCTCTCGTTCTTTCTCTCTCTCTCTCTCTCTCTCTCTCTCTCTCTCTCTCTCTCTCTCTCTCTCTCTCTCTCTCTCTCTCTCTCTCTCTCTCTCTCTTTCTCTCTCTCTCTTCCCATTCCTCTGCCGCTGCATCTCCGTCGTAGCATGGGGCGCCGTCCTTATCCAACCAAACGTGCGCTGCCCCTTTTTTCTCTCTGGTGATTGACATCTTGATGCGAGAAGGGTCGTCGTCGTCGGTGCTGCTGAACTCGCAGCGGTGCGAGAACTGGTTCTCGATGGGACATGTAGTGCCTGATCGCAAGAAACAGGTCTTTATATTATATGTAGAGTGGCAAGAACAAGCAAGTGACATTGTGTGCTCTGCATAACGGCCGTCCTCTCACACATTGCTCCGCACTACCAGTGCCAATGATAATGGGTGCACGATGTCTTTTATCGCTGCAAGCTCCGCGATGTCGACCGTTATGAAAGCGGTCGCCACGCGACCGACCACACACAGCAATCTGAAATCAGGGAAGCCCCAGTCAATGACTGGAACACATATGATCACTTGTTATCTGCTGATAGCTCAAAAGGGGATCCCCTGATATGATAAGAACACGACTGGCAGCGGCACATATTTTGTTATGTTATGTTGTGTTTAAAAACCTCGAACACCTCGTGAATGAAAAATATCCAAACTGCTTGATCTACTGCGTTTCGAGCCGGGCCCTCAACCTGTTCATCTTCGCACAAGAAAGGCCCAAGAGGGGGACCACGATTCGAAAATTCAAACCTTCCGCCCCGAGAGGGCCCCAGGAGGCCCCAGGAGGCCCCAAGAGGCCCCAACACTGCCCCCAAGAGGCTTCGAAACTTGCTCCAAGAGGCCCCCGAGAGGCCCACCACGATATCCCAACGAACATTCAAGAGGCCTCTGACCCACCACCCAGGCACGGTGGCGGGATGGGCCGAAGGCCAGTATATCCGCCGCCCCCTGCTTGCAGGGGTG